GGGAGTTAGGAAGGGGATAGGTCAGTCCAGGGAGGACGGACAGGTCAAGGGGGCGGGATGAGGTTGGTCGGTAGGAGATGGAGGTGCGGCTTGAGGTGGGAGGAGGGGATAGGTGGGAGGAAGAACAGGTTAGGGAGGCAGGGACGAGCTGGACTGGTTTTGGGATGCGGTAGGGGGAGGGGAGATTTTGAAACTTGTGAAATCCCTCCTCGGTGGTCGAGAACGCCCTCAACCGTGTCTCCCACATCTCCCGCACCTCATCCCTCACACCCCGTCCACGCAATAAGAACCAAAAAAGAATCCCCCTCGTCCTCACCTACCACCCCACCAACCTCCGGATCCAACGCATCATCCTCCGACACTTCCGCCATCTGCAATCCGACCCCACCACCAAAGACATCTTTCCCTCCCCACCCTTATCTGCTTTCCGGAGGGACAACTCTCTCCGTGACTCCCTTGTCCGCTCCACACTCCCCTCCAGCTCCACCACACCCGGCACTTTTCCCTGCAACCGCAGGAAGTGCTACACCTGCCCCCATACCTCCTCCCTCACCCCCATCCCAGGCCCCAAGAAGACTTTCCACATCAAGCAGATGTTCACCTGCACATCTGCCAATGTGGTATACTGCATCCACTGTACCCGGTGTGGCTTCCTCTACATCGGGGAAAACAAGTGGAGACTCGGGGACCGCTTTGCAGAACACCTACGCTCGGTTCGCAATAAACAACTGCACCTCCCAGTCGCGAACCATTTCAACTCCCCCTCCTATTCCTCAGACGACATGTCCATCCTGGGCCTCCTGCAGTGCCACAACGATGCCACCCGAAGGTTGCAGGAACAGCAACTCATATTCCGCTTGGGAACCCTGCAGCCCAATGGTATCAATGTGGATTTCACAAGTTTCAAAATCTCCCCTCCCCCCACCGCATCCCAAAACCAGTCCAACTCGTCCCTGCCTCCCTAACCTGTTCTTCCTCCCACCTATCCCCTCCTCCCACCTCAAGCCGCACCTCCATCTCCTACCGACCAACCTCATCCCGCTCCCTTGACCTGTCCGTCCTCCCTGGACTGACCTATCCCCTTCCTAACTCCCTACCTACACTCACCTTTCCTGGCCCCATCCCCGCCTCTTCGACCTGTTTGTTTCCTCTCCACCTATCTTCTCCTCTATCCCTCTTCTATCCGCCTCCCACTCTCTCCCTATTTATTTCAAAACCCCCTTCCCCTCCCCCTTTTCTGATGAAGGGTCTAGGCCCGAAACGTCAGCCTCTCTGCTCCTATGATGCTGCTTGGCCTGCTGTGTTCATCCAGCCCTGCACCTTGTTGTCCTTGTAGCCACTTTATTTACATGGCGAGTCAGTTCAGTTTCTAGTCAATGATAAACGCCCTCCAGATGTTGATAGTGAGGGATTTTGTGATGGTAATGCTGTTGAATGTCAAGGAGTGGTGGTTAGATTGAGCCTTATTGAAGATGATCATTGCCTGGCATTTGTGTGACACAAATGTTACTTGCCACTTTTCAGCCCAGGCTTGGAAACTGTACAGGTCTTCTTCTACTTGGACATGGACTGCTTCAGTATATGAGGAGTCGTGAATAGTGTTGAACATTATGCAATTATCAAACATCCCCACTTCTGACCTTATGGTGGCGGGAAGAGGTCATTGATGCAGTAGCTGAAGACACAAACTGAGGTACTCCTGCAGAGATGTCCTGGAGTTGAGATGACTGACCTCGAACAACCAGAACCATTTTCCTATGTGCCAGGTACAACTCTAAACAATGGACAGTGTCCCACTGCCCTCCCCACCCCACCCCAGATTCCCATTGATTCCAGCTTTGCTAGGGAGCCTTGATTTCATATTCGGTCAAACATGGCCTTGATATTGATGGCTGTCACACTCACTTCACTTTGGGAATTCAGCTCTTTCGTCCATGTTTGAAACAAGGCTGTAACAAGGTCAGGAACCGAGTGCCTCTGGCAGAACAGGGCGTCAGTTAGCAGTTTATAATCATTCCTTGCCTTCCCACCTATTTTTGTGTCATTCGCAAACTTGGCGATAGTACATTCACTTCTCTCATCCAGTCATTCGTACATATTATCAACTAAAGCGGCTCCAACACTGATTCTTGTAGCACTCCACTAGTTACAAGTTGTCACCCTGAAAGTGTTTTTTATTAGTTTGGTAATCCTTTACCAAAAAGTACTATACCCCAAAAGTGCTTTCCTT